CAGGCGGCAGCCTTACCCTCTACGCCACAGAGTCAGCCCCGAGAATGTAAATTAGTATAGCTACTATGGAAAATAATATGGAATTTTCTTAAAATCTAGAATTAGAACTGCCATAGGATCCAGCAATCCCACTTTTAGAATAAATGCAAAAGAAAATCATTAAGGAGATACCTGCGCTACAGTGTTTACTGTAGCACTGTTCACAATAAATAAGATATAGAATCAACCAAGGCATCATCATCAGAGGAATAAAGAAAATGTGGTATATACGTACAAAGGAATATTATTCAGCCATGTGCAGCAAAATGGATGGAATGAGAGTACATCATGTTGAGTGAAATACGTCAGACATGGAAAGACAAATACAGCATGTTCTTCCTCAAATTTGGAAGTAGGGAGGGAAAAACTCTATCTGAACATAGGATAGATACTACTAGAGGCTAGAATGGAAGGGAGGAGATAAAGAATCTGTGGATAATGGGCACCAAGTCAGTGTTAGAACAAACGTGCTACAAAGAACAGTGGAGTGACTACAGCTCACAGTAACTACGATGTATTCTACAAGAAAATTAAAAGAGCCCCAAGGCTCTTATCATAAAGTAATATCAAAAAAGGGGAAATGTTGATTATCTTGATTTGATCAGTACACATTGTATATATGTTTTGAAATGTCACACTGTAGCCTATAAATATGTACAACTGCTGTTAATAAAGTTTTTTTAAAAAATAATTTATGGGCCAGTGTTGTGGTGTAGCAGGTAAAATGCACTGCCTGCGACCCCTATAGGCACAGGTTCCAGTCTCAGCTGCACAACTTCCAATCCAACTCCCTGCTAATGGCCTGGGAAAGCAATGAAAGATGTCCCAAGTGCTTGGGCTCCTGCCACCCACGTGGGAGACCCAGAAGTTCCTAGCTCCAGGCTTCAGCCTGCCCTAGACCTGGTTGTTGTAGCCACCAGCGGAATGACCCAGCGGGTAGAAGATCTCTCTCTCTCCCTCTCTCTCTTTTTCTATCTCCCACTGCCCTGTAACTTTAAAATAAATAAATCTTTAAACAGTATATCAATTTATATCAGAAGAACTTTTATTCTGACTACTCAATAATATGGTTCCATGTGATAATTTTATAGTCCCTCCTCCCCAAAAAGGGGAAATAAATGTCAACGATCTTTAAATCTTTTGTAAATATAGCACATTACACAATAAAATGTGCTGTCACAGTTCTTAGCTTTGCTTTTAAGAATTTCTAAAGACAGGAGAAAACGCTTTCAATGTTAAGCACACAAAAGAGGAATTCTAAAACATCTCCACCTAAAACTTCACTGGGTACATATTAATTCTCCTCACTGAATTTTCTAACATTTGGCTGTCTCCTTTCCAGCTCCACATTTTTCTTCAAGTTCTGGGTTAATCAAATATGTATATCTTAAGTTCAATCATTCCTTTTGTATTTAGGGAGCTTGCCAGCTAACAAAATGTGCACACATCATTAATAGATAAGGGTCAACAAAGACAGTGTCTCAGGAAGAAACTGTAACTACCACTCCAGGGAAGTATGATGTAATTTCCCTCTGGGACTTCAACAAAGCAAGTAAGATTGAGATGAAATCTGCTTAAAAATGAATCATAAATTTAGACAAGCAACAATTATGCTGCATGATATCAACCATGTGCCATTAAAAAAACTATTTCATCTGAAAGTACTTAATCTTTAAATAAACAAAAATTACAGAGGAAGAGGAGTTTCAGAATATAATGTAAATGCATGAGATAATTATCAAATAAATGAAAGAAAAGCAAAAAAACAAGGTCAGCTCAGAGCATGAGTGCTTATGATAAAAACTGGTGTCTACAAAACTGGATTGTTGGTTGTTACAAAGGCTTATGAATGTTGCCAGCACTGTGGCATAGTAGGCTAAGTGTCTGCAGGATTGACATCCCATGAGTGCTGGTTCAAGTCCTAGCTGCTCCACTGCTGATCCAGCTCCCTGCTAATGGCCTGGGAAGGCAGTGGAAGATATCTCAAGTGCTTGGGCCCCTGCACCAATGTAGAAGACCTGGAAGAAACTCCTGGCTTTGGATTGGCCCAGCTCTGGCCATTGTGGCCATCTGGGGAGTGAACTAGAGGACAGAAGACCTCACTTTCTCTCCTTCTCTCTTTCTGTAACACTGCCTCTCATAAATAAATAAATAAATAAATCTTAAAACAACACACACAAAAAAGGCTGGGTACAATCTTTGTTGTCCGGTGTATCTGGAGATATTTTTCTTTCAATCACTTTCCAAACATAGATCCCTTCATACAAGATTGTAACAAGCTAATGCTTGAGAAAAGATGCTGACACTTTACTTAGCCCATTTGTGTGTTCAACATTCATATAGTCTTCCTTGTGATTCTGCCTTTATATTCTTTGTGTATAAAGACTATTGTCAGTCTTTCTGTATAAAGACTATTGTCAGCATGTCCTTTATTTAAGAACTCTTTATACATTTAGTGAAAAAATATTTCTATCAAAAATGAATTCTAGGAGCCAGCACTGTGTTGTAGAAAGTTAAGCCTCTGTCTACAGTACCAGCATCCATATGGGAGCCAGTTAAAGTCCTGGCTGCTCCACTTCCTATCTAGTTCCCTGTTAATGGGCCTGGGAAAAGCCATGGAAGATGCCCCAAGTACTTGGGTCCCTGCACCCATGTATGAGACCTGGGAGAAGCTCTTGACTCCTGGCTTCACCCTGGCCCAGTCTCAGCCACTGTGGCCATCTGGAGAGTGAACCAACATGTAGAAGATTCTCTCTCTCTTTCTTTTTCTTTCTGTATCTTGGCATTTTAAATAAATGAATCGTTACAAAGTGAATTCTACATACAACATGAATTTTCAAAACCACTTTCATAACTTTAGTGTTATTAATTTCAGTATGTCACTGAATTTTCTATCATTTTCTAAGCAACAAAAGTTTGCCTTTTCTCCACAAGATTATATTAGTATAAAATACCTATTGCTTAAATTTAAATAACCCAAATCACAATGGTGATAATAAGTATGTAACTATTCTACTCTTAAAGTTCTTAATATTTCTGGAAAAGGCAAAAACTTCTTAGTAACTAACATGAAAATCAACTGAACACATAATCAATAACCCAGTGAATACACACATAAGGGTACTACATAAAGTCCCTGGAAAATGTATATTATGATAAACCTAATATTCATGGTGTCTCTGCCGATACAACAGTGATTCTCATGATATCACATTCCTTCAAGTTAGTAAGCCTTTATCTTTATGCACCAAAATAAACTTATCAGTTCTACTTATCCATGAACTTTTTGAAGTATCCTTATATATAAACTTTTTAAAAATATGAAACTACTAGATACAGCTAACTAAATGGAAGTTCTGGGTAGACGAATAGTGTTTGATGATCTCACCACCAGATGATCGGTTGACTGTGAATGCATAAAAACATCTTTTAAATATAACAGTCTCTAATTAGACTGACCCTGTGTAATTAGAATATTTGCTAGCTGCTGTGTAGACAGAAAACCTTATAAATTAGGGAACATGCTATAGATGAGAAAAGTGTAACTCAGAGATGCTCAGTGTCTATGGTCAACTCCAAAAGCAGGATTCAAACCTGACTGGTTCTGAGTCAGAGTGCATGCTCACAATCTTATGCTTTGCTGACTCCAATAGCAACACCTGGATACTTCGAGAAAGCTGGTCGTGAAATTGATATTCAGTCAGAACACTTAAAAAAATCAAGCCTCAAAAATGTAAAGACTAATTATAGTTTCTGCAAAAAGAACTGACTGTCCATATTCCTGGCTTATCCAAAGGAAATAATCATATGAGTAAACATCACTGCCAGGATTGCCATGCCCAGCCCTGTCCCATACATGAACTGTCAATCAGTTACAGGGGTAAATTAAACTTTGCACTGAAGGAGCAAGCTGATGCCACCTTAAAGCAGTATTCAGTTTCAGTCCTGCCAGTGAGGGAAACCAGAGCTATTCTCTGACTCCTGTTGGGACACAAGATGAGCAGACGGCATTGGGATGATATCTAGTCAAAATGTTTGCTTTGATTTAGTCAAGCACTTGGGCCTAACCTTCAATTTCAGGAATTACAAGAACTAAAGACCACAAGAGTAAACTACATGACAGCAGAAAGAAGAGAGAAGACAAATTCAGAGGACAGGATTTTCTCCAGAACAACTGACCTTGTCTCTTCAACAAATCAGTATCATGGGGAAAAGAAAGAAAAAAAGAAACTGTGAGTACAAATGGTTCAAGGTTAAAATCATGTTCCAGCATCAAAGATTACGATTAATTGGACAAATAAGACATGAACAACAAAGATTTCTTCTCAAGAGACCTCCCCATCACAGCCTTCCCACAATGTGCTAATGGAAATATTTTTGTAATTTAAAGTAAAATATTAACTTTCAAAAGACCCTCCAATGCAATCTTAGAGAAACGTGTAAGCTTGTTATACCAGTGCTCAGAATTACTAGAGACCACATAACGTAATAGTCCAGAATAACGACAACTGAGGGACATGCAATGCTGATTTTCATACAGCTGTCTTTGCCACACAGGCCTCCTCTCAGTACCCTAATGGGAATTATTCCTTTGAACACTAATATCCTTTGTTCTAAGCACATACCTACAAATAAAGAAGCTCAAGAGTTTAGACAATATCAGAGGGATTGGGGTTAAACTTTAATTACATACTAACAAGTGGAGGCTTATATGATTTAAATCATAGACAAATAGGGAAAGGAAGTAAAGCTTAGATTTTTAGTAATATAGAATCAGTCTGGTGCAGATACAAGTAGGTGAAATCTTCAGCTAAGTGTTCTTCATAGAATCTCACCAAGGACAAAGATCAAAAGGTACTGTTAAAATTTGTTCAAGGAAATGTGTCATTGAAATAAATAGCACCTACCTTTGGGTATGGAAATAATTTTTCAAAAATGAAAACAAAACAAGAAAAACAAACCTGAGGCCTAGCTGCCTGCAAATCACTTCAGCATCTGCATCATCCCATTGGTCATCACAGATTGTTCCCCACTGGCCAGCATGGTAGAGCTCTACTCGACCTTCATGCACAGTGCTCCCACCAGCCAGGCGAATGATGGGGAGCGCTGCACCTGCGCAATGTGAAATCCAAAACAAGTTACACCTATACGTTGACGTTGATCAATAAGATCAGGTTCATCTATTTCTCTGCCATCTCCAATAATTAAATAGTATTTATCAAGACACATCAGTGATACAAACATGCACATCTAAACCCAATACATATTACAATAATCTCAACCTATTAAAATATTAAAAATTGAATTACATTTATGTAAATAGCTATTAAGGGGAAAGAGTCTAAATTCACTTTTCCTCAGCAACTTCAGACACCAGAAAAGATACCCTCAAAAACTGCAGATTATTGGAAGCAAGTTTGTTTTTTAGGGTATTATTGGTGCTCAGGTGAACATAAATATCTGCATATTTCAACCATACTGTTAATAACCATATATCTAGTATATGGAGCTTACAGGAAGCCATTATCCAAGACAACAATGCATTTTTGGGGAATATGCTATCTACAACCCAAAGGAAAATAATGATATCATGATTATAATCATTATACAAATTAAAAACATTTTATTGCAGTTGGTTTATTTTATGTTTGGTTTCAAGATTTTTCCATCTTGGTTTCATCATGACATTCTATTATTAAAATAAGTATTTCCATATCTAGTACATTGTATTACATATATAGGATATAATATTTCCATAAGCAATTTATATACAAAATAGGTTAAAGTGAGATACTATTTGAAAATCAAATGGAATTCATGCTTTCAGATATATTCATACTGAAGATTTGAAAATAGGATATGATCATTTGGATTTATTTCTGTATAAACTTTTTAAGGAAATGATTTAAGTAAGACATTTTTATCATCTGAAATCATGTTTAAAACACAACGAAAGTAAAACAAGAAAATAATTTTTTTACCATGATAAGAGCTGCACGTGACAGCAGCTGCCATCTTGTGAGGACACGGCCCACCCTGCCACATGTCTTTTTCACACAGAAGTATATTTTCTTCATCTCCACGGCAACGGACATTGCTCCAATAAATAGGAATAAGGCCCAGTACAGAAAAGGAAGTTTGTTTTGCTATTCCTTTACCTCTGGAAGTACAGTGATCTAGATTAGATTTATCAAATGTAGACAAAGCTTTGGATCAAAGTATTTGGATTTTTAAAAATGAAAAAAATCAATAGAGATGAATGTGAAAGGAAAAAAAATCATGCAAGATCACGTAAATTTCTAGGAAATTAAAAACATCAGATCAGAATCTGAGTTTATCTGCAGCAATCATTTTGTACAATATGTGCCTTTATTCTCTGCGGCTGATTTAGAAGAAAATGGGCAAGTACTACAGATATAAAAGAGAGCCAGCGTGGCTCTGTAAGAAGTTATGTCAAAAGGCCCAGTGAAGCTGAGATTCTGGTCTGGACTCAGCTAAAAGTCACCCTGAGCTACAAGTCTCTAAGGCTCTGCCTTCTAATGTGTGAAACAAGAAGTCTAGATGCTTTAAGATTATTGCTAATGCTAATATTCTAGGTTTGCATATCAAAAATGACAGTTATTATCACATTTGAGTACAATATCAAGGGAGGCAACCTGTTTAAAATTGTGAAATCTTAAATATAATATTTGCTCACAAGACTGAAACAGGTTAACAAAATCACATGCAGATGGGCTCTGCTTTCAGATCACCTACCCACGTACTTTTAGAGGTATCCTTTGATATATACAACTTGATATTAAATTTGAAAAAGATTAAGCGTTCATCTGATTAACATGATAGTCTCAACAGTAGTCTCCATGGCTACAGCTTCCATCAACCAAACAGTAAACATCTGGGATATATTTAAAATCTGAAATGTGTCTTTACACAATAGAGCTGAGTTGCTCTGCTCTACTTTGCAATTTTTTTAATGGACTATTGGGAGATGATCTAAACAAGAGCACTGTCTTATCTGATATTTACATCTGCAGAATGGCAGCTTACATTCTTTCATCAATCAAAAGACTAGCAACCACTCTGCAGTTGACAGTGCTACTAGAGTGTTCTTGCTCTCTTTGTGTCTCATAGGAAATGGTATTATTTTCTGGTTTTTGGCTTAATAAGTGGGCATGAAGTATGAATATGAAAGAAGACACTATCATCAGCATCCAAAGTTTTTGTATCTCCTGATCCCAAAAGAAAATCATCAAATCAACATTCTTTATGCCCAACTGCCAACAACTGATTGCCAATTAAACATAGATGGATGAAATCAGTAATTACCATTTCCAAGCACCATAACACTTCAGAGACTCAGGCCTTTCTGTTTCTTTCATGCTGGGTTATACTTAGTCTCATTAAAAGATCAGTTAATTAAATTTCATTTCATTCATTAACCCTGTTTGCTGTTCTAATAGCATTGAAGTCCTGAAGAAAAATTAGACCTCCTGGGTTTGCCCTTACTAAATTTCTCATTCCTCAATATTCCCAGTAAGAAGACAGGAAGAATCTCACAGATTAAAGCCCTACCTCTTTGTGTGTATCATCATATTCAATATTGGCACTCATTTACTATTAACCCAAAATACTGTAAATCAGAAAGCTGTTTTTCAGCCTTTTACACTTCCATTTTTTTAAAACAAGATGTTTTCCAGAACAAGATATTTTCCATGCTTTCTAAAGACGAGGGCTAAGAAAAACATATGATATGGGCACTCAAAAAAATAAATGAGACACAGAAACAGAACAATAAGAACAACAAAAACAAAATCCTTTCTTCCAAAATGGAGCTTTCTTCATCTGATGAAACCCTATGGCACATGGCATTAAGACACTGAGACTGGTGAGAGTCAGTGTACACTGACGCATTTTAAAGACAGTGCCAAGGGCTATAAGTTAAGTTAGCGCCTGAATGAGCTGTTCCTCAGGATGGTTAGACATGGAAGTGGCTGATAGGAGCTGCCATCTCTCATGGGACCTCCCAGGGCAGAAACCCAAGGCCTGGGACCTCACCCCTTATCAATCACAGGATATACAAAAGCAGAATTTGTGGATGGCTAAAAGAAAGTTAAAAACTTAATAGCAACTTAGGGCTGTGCAGGCTACTAAGAAATTGTTATTCTTACAATCAAATTACTTGGTTCCTAGGCCTAAACAATTATTTTGTTAAAGGCAAAGAAGAAAATGCTTTCCCGGAGAAGCAGCAGGTAATAGCCTAAGGACTTGGGTCCCTGCCATCCTTGTAGGGGAGACATGGATTGAGTTCCAGGCTCTTGACTTCAGTCTGGCCCAGCCCCAGCTGTTGCAGGCAGTTAGGGAGTACACCAGCAGATGGAAGATTCTCATTCTCTGTCTCTCTTTCTCTCTCTCCCTGCCTTTCAAGTAAATAAACTGTTTTTGTTTTTTCTTTTAACGTGCTCTTAACTTTTGCCTACTTAGCATTTGCCCAGCAGGGGTAATAACCCATGAAGTACATTTGAACAACAGACAACTCATTCTTTCCATTTGAGGCCCTCTCTTGATAGTTCATTTGTGGAAACTGGGAATAAAGAAAGTGACAGTAAGGAAGGGAGATGCAACATTTCCACAGCAATGACCAGTGTCCAATATCATTCTCAGTCTCTATTTGTAGACTCACCCTAGTTGCAGCTGGTGACAAATGACTGATGCATCAGAATCATCCCAGTGGCTGCTACACACGGCGCCCCAAGCTCCACCTGCATACACTTCCACTGTGCCTTCAAATTCATTTCTGCCACCACGAAGTCGTACTGACCCTAAAGAGGAAGAGAATCCCAAAGCCCTTTAATAACAAATAACTTGACTGTTCTGAGCCAGTCCTAGGCTAACAGGATCTTTACACTTAAATGGTGAGAGATCCAGTCAGAATGATTTAGTCTCCACTGTGCAACTTCTTTCTTTGAGAGTTTAGAAATTTCCTCTTTGTTTGTGAAGTTACATCTTAATATTAAAATGTGAATTATATTCTCTTTTTTATCTGGGCAAACAAGGGGTCCAGTATAATTTCAAAAAGGAAAAATAGAAGAGTATGACTAATATGAGATCTTGCATCTCAAATATTAGATTATATCACACATGAAGTTTTTATCATTTACGCATTACTACCCATTAGCACAAGAGCATAAGAAACACAGAAACATGAAATGCTCAGCTTAGAAACTAGCTGTAATTAGCTGTATTATACCTTGCTTTTATTTGCTTTATTTATCTATAAAAGGAGAATAAAAATAAAGTGCTCTCTCCACTTGTAAACTCAAGCAGGGGCTGGCATTTTGACACAGTAGTCACGAAAAATCTAAAGACTGTAGTACGGACTACAAAATCAATGAGTCAAAAATTTGTTAGTTTTGAAAACACTGCCTAATGCCAGTCTTAGGAAAATAGCCACTAAGTAGAGTGGTTTGATGTAATTATTGAATCTCCTGGAATCACCACGTCTTCAGTATCATCCCCATTAAACTTTCCCAAAGTGCACAATTTGATTCATTATTTTTGGTGTTTAAAAGGGCCAAAATTTAAATGCAAGCACCCCTGGGAAACATAATGTATTAAGTCTTAATACGTTAACCGTGGATCCCTTATGTGGAGATCGAGCTCCTACATTCCTCTTTTCACTGGAACTGGGTACAGAGTAGGTACTGGGAGGTGGCAACTAGGACACTTAAACAGAGAAAGAATCAAGGAGGCAATTTAAAAATTTCATAAAATTCTGTTTAGAAATCACCTATAGGCACTTATTTTTTATAGGTAAAGGAATGGAGTCCTAAAAAAAAAGGTTAGCATAATTCATATATCTCAAAGCTGCTACGAATGGCTTTATAATAATTTTACAAAAATACCAGATTCACAAATTAGCCATTCATTTTCTTTGTATTGATTTAATCACTCACTGCAATTATTTCCCACTTCATCATCCTTAAGAAATGTAAGCATCGTGGGGGTCGGCACTGTGGTATAGTGGGTTAAGCCACTGCCTGCAGCGCCGGCATCCCATATGGGCATCAAATTGGGTCCCAGCTGCCCCAGGTCCAATCCAACCTCATGCTAATGTGCCTAGGAAAGCAGATGTCCCAGGTGCTTGGGCCCCTGAACTGATGTGGGAGAAGGGAAGAGGCTTCTGACTTCTGGCTTCAGTCTGGTCCAGCCCTGGCCATTGAGGAGTAAATGAGAGGATGGAAGATCTCTCTCTCTCTCTCTCTCTCTCTCTCTCTCTCTCTAACTCTGTTGCTCAAATGAATAAAATAAATCTTTAAAAAGAAATGTAAGCATAGAGGAAAATCATACTTTCTTTCTCATGACCAAAACAAGGTCTCCTTTAACTCAAACAAAAGGCAATAATAAAAGAGGCAAGCATTGTACTGCCTACTCCTGATTGTTCAGGAAAGCCCAGGTATGAGTCATTTACAGGATAGCTCACTTATAAGCCATTCATACACTCTAAACTTTAATTGAGACCAAGCAAGTGGAAGTTGCTATGGTATTGAAATTAGCTTGTATGTTCCTCCTAAAAACTCATATATTAAATGCTTGGTCCCCAGTCTTATGTTAACAATACTGAGTGGGTAGAAACTTCGTCCAACTGTAGTTTTTACATGTAAGGCCTTTAGGAAGTAACCAGATCAGATTAGGTTGTTGGGGGTGAGTTCCCTATTTTTGAATCAAAGTGGCTTTATAAGGAGAGGCGGACAGAAGGTGCACTCCCCCTGGACATGTGACACTCTGCTGCTTCAGGACTCTGCCAGCAAAAACACCATCACCAAAAGCTGACTGTCCACAGTGAACTTTCAAAGCTATGAGCTAAAATAAACCTCCTTTCCTCATAAGTAGCTTGTCTTAGGAATTTCACTGTAGCAACAACTGAATAAAACCAAAGCTCAGTACAGCTCAGTGAAAAGTGTGACCTACAAAATATTTTTTAAAGAACTATGAAGAATTCAATTGAGATCTTTTTTGATTACAGAACTCCTACAAAGACCGAATCTGATGCATGTCACAAATACCAGTAATTTTTCAAAGAATCCATTCGTTCAACTCAAATGGACATGATTTAAAATTATATGTAAATTAAGTTTTTTATTATTATTATTAATTTCTTCACCACCAGCAGCTTACTCACATCAAAAGGGTTGGAAGGGCCGGCACTATGGCATAGCTGCAGTGCCAGCATCGCATATGGGCACTGGTTCGAGTCCCTTACTTCTCATGTGGGATCTGTCCTTAATGTGTTGTCCAATGTGAAGTAATGCTATAACTAGTACTGAAACAGTATTTTACACTTTGTGTTTCTGTGTGGGTGCAAACTGATGAAATCTTTACTTAATATATACTAAATTGATCTTCTGTATATAAAGAGAATTTAAAATCAATCTTGATGTGAATGGAATGGGAGAGGGAGCGGGAGATGGGAGGGGTGCGAGTGGGAGGGAAATTATGGGGGGGGGGGAGCCATTGTAATCCATAAACTGTACTTTGGAAATTTATATTTACTAAATAAAAAAAATACTCAAAAAATGTGAATTAACGGTATAACTAGTACTCAAACAGTGCTTTATACTTTGTGTTTCTGTGTGGGTGTAAACTGTTGAAATCTTTACTTGGTATATACTAAATTGATATTCTGTATATAAAGATAATTGAAAATGAATTTTTTTTTTTACAGGCAGAGTGGACAGGGAGAGAGAGAGAGAGAGACAGAGAGAAAGGTCTTCCTTTTGCTGTTGGTTCACCCTCCAATAGCCGCCGCGGCCGGCGCGCTGTGGCCGGCACACTGCACTGATCCGAAGGCAGGAGCCAGGTGCTTCTCCTGGTCTCCCATGGGGTGCAGGGCCCAAGCACTTGGGCCAACCTCCACTGCACTCCCGGGCCACAGCAGAGAGCTGGCCTGGAAGAGGGGCAACCAGGACAGAATCCGGCACCCTGACGTGGACTAGAACCCGGTGTGCCGGCGCTGCTAGGCAGAGGATTAGCCTATTGAGCCATGGCGCCTGCCATGAAAATGAATTTTAATGTGAATGGGATGGGAGAGGGAGCGGGAGATGGGAAGGTTGCTGGTGTGAGGGAAGTTATGGGGGGGAAAAGGTACGGTATTCCAAAAGCTATACTTTGGAAATTTATATTTATTAAATAAAAGTTTAAAAAATTAAAAAATTTAAAAAGAAATTAAATATTTCTGCACCAAAATAAGCTTATCTTTTCATTCCATTTTTCTATGAACTTTTTCAAGTATCCTTGTAAAATAGACACATTTAAGAAAAATAGTAGTTTTCAATTGTTCTGGCTTTATTTTGTTCTTCCTGCATTTACTCTCTTGGAATGGTTAAGGTGTTTAAAAAGGTCTTCAAAACTGCTAATGCCTACTGTGTGGGACACCTGCATCCCATATCACAGTGCCTGTATTCCAGTCTCAACTGCACTGCAGATTCTGACTTCCTATTACTGAGGCAGTGGTGATGGCTCAAGTACTTGCCTCTTTGCCACACAGGTAGGAGACCCAGATTCAGTTCCAGGCTCCTGGCTTTGTCCTGTCACAGCCAGGGCTTTTGTGGGCATTTGGGGAATGAATGAACTAGCGGATGCAAGATCTCTCCTTCTTTGTTTATCTACCTTTCAAATAAAATGAAAAATAAATAAATAATTTAAAAAATTTTTATTGGACCTCATTTCCCTCAATTCATGCTTTATGCACTATACCCAAATGTGCTATATCCTACAACTATGTGCTATATCCCACAACTCTAGATCCCTGCCCTTGCTACTGTACGCCTACCTCTACACCTAAGACCCAGAAACACAATAAGCGTCTATTATTAGTAGTAGTATTAGTATTTTTTGCCTTATATCATGTTGGCATTTCAACACTGTATTTGAAGTATACCAAATGTTAAATGGGACTAAACAAGGCAGGCAGAAGTCCAAGACAGCCTGAAGAGTTTCTATACACTGTAGAACAGGAGAGAAGTAGCTTTCTGGTGAGGCTCCATTTGATGTTGATCCTTCAGTGAAGGCTGATTTCTCCCACGGGCTGTTCAAATTTGTAGTTGTACTATGTGTGTGTATACACACATCTGCACAAATTTATAGGTACCTAATTACAAGATGGAGAAAGGGCACTATCCTTAGCACAATGAAAAGAAAGGCTGGAACAATACAGAACTCTACAAGAGTAAGTCAGGTTAACTAATTTCTGCTGTTACACTTACTTAAAAATAAAATTTTTTGCATAAATGTTAGGCCAAATTCTTTGTTTGATAAATACTGATCAATTATTATTAAGAATTGATCTCTCTTCCTTCCCTTACCCTTTCCTACTTCAGTCAAGCATTCTGCCATGTTCCTTCTTCAAAGTCACAGTTATAATGTCTCTGGACCACACCCTGGTGGAGCCAGGGCCGCACTGTCCTAAAGTCTCTCACCAATTTGATGAAAGCTCTTCCATCCTATATATAACTTTCTAAAAATATGTTAATAATACTGATTTAAAATTTGAAGTTGCAAACAGATTTTATATGTTAATGATACTAAGCACGACAAATGTATAGGAAGAAAGTCTAGAACTGCAATACTATATATGATGTCATGTCACGGAGAGGAGCCACCAGAGTTCACAAAATGAATGGCTACCAAAACAAAGGGTTAACTGTTACTGGTTGTCTTACAGCTACATAACGGCAACATTTTCCAGTGAGCAACAAGGGTTAGAATTCTGCTATCTTGATTTCTTGCCAAAAATGTTTAACTGTCATTTTAGTTTATAATT